GAGTCAGGTCTGACTCGACGGCACATAACAACAACACAACAATGTCCTCCAGGTTCATCATGTTGTGAGATGATTTGTGCATTCTTCATTGTTCTTTAATGTTGCATAGAATTCCACTGTGTAAATGTACCATAATTTGGTTGTCCATTCTTTGTTGATAGGCATTTAGGCTGTTTCCATCTCTTTGCTGTAGTGAATTGTGCTGTGATGAACATGGGTGTGCACATGTCTCGTGTCCTGTCCCTCATCTCTTTAGGATATATTCCTAGTAATGGAATTGCTGGTTCAAATGGTATTTCTATTTTCAGTTTTTTGAGGAAATGCCATACCATTTTCCACAATGGTTGTAGCATTTTATAGTCCCACGAGCAGTGTGTGAGAGTTCCTGCTTTTTTAAAACTAATCCATTCAACAAATATTCATTGAATACATATTTTGTGTCAGGTACTGTGCTAATTACTGGGGACACAGCATCATGGTCCCAATTTAGTTAGGAATATAGATGTTAAGTAAATAATTCCATAAATACTTAATATGCATTGATGTTAAAACTGCTAGCTAGAAGGCTGGTGGTTCAAACCCACCAGCCACACCTCGGAAGGAAGATTGGGCAATCTTCCTGTAAATCTACTTCTGTAAAGATACTGCCTCGAACACCCAAGGAGGGGTTACTATGAGTCAAATCAACTCCATGACAGTAAGTTTGATTTTTTTGGTTTTGGAACAGTTTATAAGAGGAGCTCCTAATGTATCATAGTTTTGGGGTACAGGTGGCAGTCAGTAAAGGCTCAACATGAAGCAAGAACAAGAACAACAAAAAGAATATTATATCAGCATAGTTTTAGATATTGTTTAGGTTTCTTTCTTTTCCTCAGTTGAGTTTATAGATTCTTAACCTTCAAGAATGCATTTTAGAATAAATCTTTCTTAAGATAGAATAATTCATAACTAAGTTTTTCTTAACTGAAAGGCATAATTGGATGTATTCAGTGTAGGATAAAACTGTAACTTAGTTCACATTCTCCTTTTGTTTTAATTTCCTATTTCTTCCCTCCTGTAATTTTCAAATTCTTTCTCTGTTCCTTTTATCTTCTTTGCCACTTCTTATCCAGTTGATGCCTCTGTCTTCTAGTGTCTGACTTGTCTTACTATTATTCTATTTCTCTGCCTTCTCCTACCTGCCTTTATAGTCTTCAGTGCTTTTTTATATTCTTTTTCCTTCCCTTTTTTGGCTTCTATCCAAAACTAGAAAAAAAGAGTAGAAAGGGTTCAAGTTAAAAAGATGTATTACATATGTGAACTAATATATATGTGTTTGTATATGTATATTCCAAATTTGAGTTTATGATACCTGTTTTCTTTTTCTTTGCATCTGCTGATTTGGTAAACCATTTTAAGGGTTACTGATGAGCCTTAGAGAATAAAAACACACAGCATAGAATTTTCTGGTTCAAGTGAACCACAAAAGCATTGTGTCAGTTGAGGTTAAAGTTTTGCTTTCTACCAATGAACAAGGTGAATGACTAGAAGTTCAGAAAGGAAAAAGCTGATATTGACTGATTTAGGGATAAATCAAGAAATGTGACATTTCATGTATAGGTCTTTTCATTTAGAGTGCAAGGTTGTCAGTCAGAATTTGCATTGTATAGGAAATCAATTGAAACTTGAGCCCATGGACATTTACTTCAGCACAATCCTTACTAATTATCATGACTATGTCAATTTAGAATGTTGTAAGCTTAATTTAGACTTGAAGAAAAATTGAGATTCATTTATATAACTATAGTATTCGTATTAATTAGATATTATTTATGGTTTCTCAGCATCATATAATACTAATTATTATTTTAATTTTTTATTTAAGCCAACCACCTAAAGCTTGATATGTTGCACAGGCTACTTGTAAAGCTTAGTACTTCCCTAAAATCATCTTATAATTATTATTAATTATAGAATAATTATTCATTATTATTAAATAAAATGAATACCTTATATACCTTGTTTAAATTGTCTTTTTGTTTTCTTTTAAAGATGGTTCTTTTGTATTTGTTTTTGGTCTATTATTTGTGTTTTGTGTGATACAGTAAGTGATGTGCCTAATTTAGGTCTGAAATTAATTTCCGAAAAACCACTTTTATTGATTCTTAGTCTTTAACTTGATATTGAACGACCTGGCTCAGGAAAATAAATCAAATATACTGAATCGGCACTTACAGAATATTAACATCATGGGTTAGGTGTCATTTTCCAATACTTTATTTCAGGGATGGCAAACTAAGGACTGAGGTGCTAATCCAGTCTGTCACCTGTTTTTGTTATTGGAAAAGACCCACACCCATTCATTTACATACGTATATGGATACATTAGCACTTACAAGGGCAAAGTTGAGTAGCTGTGACATGGCAAAGTCTAAAATATTTGCTATCTGGCTCATTACAGAAAGTATTTACTGACTTCTGCTCCATATAATAGATAATAAATGTATAGTTGAGACTGAATTTGGAAGTCGTTGATCTGTATCTGTGAAAGATACTACCTGAGGCTTTTAAAGAAATACTAGTAGAGAAACAGAAGTATCCGCCTTTTCTCTTTTCAGATTCTTGTTTCAAGTTATTTCATATGTAAATTTTTGACCCAAATTAACTTTTTAACTTTTCCTTTAATGGCCATTGATCACTATATTCACACCAATTACAATTTGGAATTGTTGTTGTTATTTGCCCTGGAGTCAGACCTGACTCCTAGGGACCCCTCCTTGGGTTTCCCGGGCAGTATCACTAGGGGAGTAGGTAAGGAGCAATACTAAAGCTAAGTTGAGATCCAAGTTCTAAGTGGTTGCCTTGACTCATTTGTGTCCTGAGCAGTAGAACTTGCACAGTAACCTGACACAAAAAAACTGAGTTCCAATTTATACATCCGCAAAATGACTAATCACTGCATAAAATACATCTTTAGGGACAATCTCATAAATTATTTAAACTATGAATGGTAAATTCATTTGCTGAAGATCTACTATATTTCTTTTATTAGCTTGGCTATGGTGTGAGTGGTCGTTCATAATAAAATTTTATTTTGATTTTCAAAAATTTTAATTGTTGCTATAGAGGTTTGACATTTGTGTAAATATTTCATTGAAAGGTGTTAATTTAAAACATTTCAACTCTATCTGCTTCTCCTTAAAGTAATAATTCTTCATATTACAGTCCCTGAACACAGCTTAAAAGTATTACGTGGAAATTCCATATACCTTTTATCATGTTGATTATTTGGAATGTACAATTTGGGTAATCTACTTAAACTGTTATTTTCCTTGTGGTCATATATAATTTGAAACTGAATATAGAAAAGTGTAACCGTGAAAGAAATGTGGTTTTTTTTTTTGGCAGAGATTCCCAGGAATCTCCCTATTGAAATGTTTAATTATCTATATTGTCATGTTTCAAATTACAAAGTTTAATAAAGTACTTGTCAAATATATAAAAATTTAAACCAAATTTTATTTTAAATTGCCTTTATTAGCTCTTACTCTAATTTTATCTAAAGATTAAATTAAGATAAATACTCCTCACCACAGTTGGCTTCCTTAAAAATAATATTTACCCAAGCAATAATTAATAGCAAAATGCTACTGATGTTCTTCAAATACTTTTACTGTGATTGTAAATAAAACTGTTAGAATTTTATTACACATTTCTGCTATGGTCCCTAATTGAGTGAAAAATAAGTGATTCCCTTCCCAGATCTTGTAAGACAAGCTTTTGTGAAGCAGCATCTTTGAAAACTATTCTTTTATTTTGGGAGAAAAAAGATTAACAAGCAAAGGGTATTTGCCCTTATGTAAGTGTGAATCCAGGTAGTAGACATTAGTAATTTGATATACCATTAAACACGTATAACTGAAAGGTTTTATTCCCTGTTGTTAACTTTTAATACTTAAGTATGTATGTGAAGAGTAGTTTTTTTGATGTATTTATTTTCTGTTGAAATGCTGTCTTCTGAAAACTTATACTTTCTCTCTATAGAGATTTTAATTGTGAAATTTGGAATTGTTTTGTGATCTGTTTTTTGAAGGGAATATTAAATCTTAGGAGCACAGAAATTTGAAAGAAAAAATTAGGAAACAGGAACATGTGTAATTCAACTTTTTAGTACACTTTCAATATAATTGAGACTATTTTTAGACTCAAAATTAGTTCACTACAGATTTTCTTTCAATTTACCTAATTGAATTGTTGCTTACATTATTTATATTTTTAACTCTGAGAATTTTAGTTATATTGGAACTCTTTCCTTTATTACATTTCTTCAATTCATCAACATTAATAAACATTTCAGTAATGCCTATAGCTCTTGTAAGACAAAATGTACTTACTAGAGCCAATTTACTTTCTTTGTCTTTAAATTAAATAATTATAAACAAGTTATGAAAAAAGGAATGTATAATGTTAGCCTCCTAAAAGCATGCTTCAATTTTGGTCATCCTTTCTATGTAGCATGTTTGTTTTAACAAACAGGTAATGGTAAGAGATTTTCAGGTCAAATTTAGTGATAATTTTTTGTCATTACTTTTGAGGGAACATAGCTAAACTTTGTAATAAAAAAATACTTGCCTTGTTTTATTTGTGATAGTGTCCAAAAGAGGGAGGAAATACCCTTTCTGATAAGAATTGAAAGTCCAGGAATAAATATAATGATGAGAATGAGTGCATGTATCACTGGGGAACTTTCTTCATCTGAGCACATATGAACAATTGATCCTTGTAGTCATATATAGCAGTAAACATTAATAACTTAACAGTCTGAATTCAGTGCAGAAGATATGGAGCATTATTGAAAGATGGAGTCGAGCAGGTGGCACTTTAATATGTTCAGTGTCATGGTTGACTCTAAAGACTAGTCGAATGAAATTACTTGAGGTTCTAAAGATTTAAAAAGCGAACTCATTTTGCTGCACTAAGGAAATGCTACTGATGAGGCTTTCTGTGTCCCTTTTTTCTAGGCTAGAAAATATTAACCCTGAAGAAAATGACATGGTAAGCCATTCTCTGAAGAGATTTCTTGATGTCAGTCTTATATCTTAGAGGCTTAAGTTCAATTGAGTGGGTTTCAAGAACTAAGATGTGGGAAAAAGAAGAATTGACACACTAATAATGTACATCTTTGCTGCAATATGAAAATTCAATAACTTCACTCAGTCAATTTACAATTCACGTGCACCTATTAATTAAAACCCTATATTAAATAAAATATATTAAAATTTCATGTCTGACTAACATATAATGGTGTTGGTAGACATTACAGGAATTACTGAACAGAATAAACAATGCAGACACAGGGATAGCTATTCAGAAGAATGGAGCTGTAATTGTGGATAAAATCTACAAGACGAACGAATGTAAAAAGAGAATAACTGCAGAAGAAATGAATGCAGTGATAGAAGAACGGGAAGCTGCGTTATCTCAGGTAACTCTGCATTTATCTGTAAAAGTATAAACTTAGACTACTCCCTCACTCTATAAAAATTACTTTTACCCAGATATACTTAAGTCACACTACTTTTTAATATATATTTAAAACCATAGTGATTAGATATATTAAAATAATTGCATATTTTGTTACACTACTGTTCAAATATATGCACCCTTATTTCTTAAAACTGTTAACTTGCTACAAAAATACTTAGTTATATATTTTAAAGTAATCACTTTTATATGAAATTTCTTACTAGAGTCTCAATGTTTTGAAGGCTGAGATTTTATCTTTATTACTGTTTTATTCCTAGTATCTAATTTCATACCTTGTAGTAAACATTGATAAATGAATCAAATTATTAGTGTATTCTTTTCTGAACATTACCTTCCCCTTCTTGCTGTAATTGAAACCTGATCACCTCTCTGAGGATAATGCTTCTACTGCAGTCCTCTTAAGTAGTGGCTGCATTCTTTTTCACACCAATTATACCACTGGGCTTGGAGGTTTGTTTCTCATTAGTGTTCTTAGGCCAGTGTTTCTTTTTCTCCTCATACCTACAGCTTTGAAGCTCATGCATCAGACGATACCACCAGTAAACACTCCTATGGAAGTCATCTATACACTCCTATGTCTTTCCTCATATTTGTAAAAGATCTTAGCATTTATTTCAGTATATCTTTCTTTAACCTGCTTCTGTCATACTTATTCATGGTTTAAATCATTTTAGATGATATTTCAAATATTTGGCCTCTTATCTCCATGAATTCCTTCTTTCTAGTGACTTTATGCTCCCCTCTACTTCATCTATGCCTTCCATGATTATATCTGATTCTTTGTCAGTATTAATCTCAGTTTCAAATATGCCACTTTCTGACCACTATCTACTTCTAGCTCATTCACTCTAGAATGCTAACTTTAGCAATTTTTCAACTCCACTGGTACCTATAAAATATTTTCTACTTACTACCTTTCTCTCCACCACTCGTCTGTCAGTTTGTTGTAATGTGGTGGCTTGCATGTTGCTGTGAGGCTGGAGGCTATGCTACTGATAATTCAAATACCAGAAGGGTTACCTGTGGTGGACAGGTTTCAGCGGAACTTTCAGACTAAGATTCAGAAGAAAGAAGGGACCATCTACTTCTCAAAGAATTAGCCAGGGAAAGCCTTACAAACAGAAGTGAAACACTGTCTGATAGAATACTGAAAACCTTTATGAATAGTTCTGAAACTTTGTTGAATATAGTGCCAGAAGAGCCCCTCAGGTTGGAAAGCACTCAAAATACAACTGGGAAAGAGCTGCCTTCTCAAAGTAGAGTCTGCCTTAATGATGTGGATGGAGTAAAGTTTTTGGGACCTCCATTTGCTGATAGAGCATGGCTCAAAATGGGAAGAAAAAGCTACAAACATCCATTAATAATCAGAATATGTGATTGTATGAAGTGTGAATCGAGGAAAATTGAAAGTTGTCAAAAATGAAATGGAATGCATAAAGATGGATATCCTAGGCGTTGTTGTTGTTGTTGTTATGTGCCATCGAGTCGGGCCCGACTCATAGCGACCCCTCCCTGGGTTTCTGAGGCAGTATCACTATGGAAGTAGATTGTCCAACCTTCCTTCTGAGGAGTGGCTGGTGGGTTTGAACCACCAGCCTTCTGATTAGCAGTCAAGTGCCTTAGGCACTGTGCTACCAGAGCTCCAGTGAGCTAAAATGGACTGATTTTGGCCATTTTGAATCAGACAACCCATATGATCTACTATGCTAGGAATGACAAATTGAAGAGGAATGGTGTGGCATTCATCATCACAAAGAATGTTTCAAGATCTATCCTGAAGTACAGTCCTGTCAGTGATAGGATGATATCAGTACACCTACAAGGAAGACCAGTTAATACTACTATTATTCAAATTTACGCACCAACCACCAAAGCCAAAGACGAGGAAATTTAAGATTTTGACCAACTTTTGCAGTCTGAAATTGACCAAACATACAAATCAAGATGTGTTGATTATCACTGGTGATTGGAATGCAAAAGTTGGAAACGAAAAATCACTAGTAGTTGAAAAATATGGCATTGGTGATAGAAATGATGCTGGAGATCACATGATAGAATTTTGCAAGACCGATGACTTATTCATTACAAATACCTTTTTTCAACAAAATAAATGATGGCTACACACGTGGACTTCACCAGATGAGGTACACAGGAATCAAATCAACCACACGTGTGGAAAGAAATTATGAAGAAGGTCATTATATTCAGCCAAAACAAGGCCAGGAGCTAACTGTGGAACAGGCTATCAACTGCTCATATGCAAGTTCAAATTGAAACTGAAGACAATTAAGTCCACAGGAGCCAAAATATGACCTTGATTATATCCCTCCTGAATTTAGAGACCATCTCAAGAATAGATTTGATGCATTGAACACCAGTAACCGAAAACCAGAGGAATTTTGGGATGACATCGAGAACATCAACCGTGAACAGAGCAAAAGGTCATTAAAAAGACAGGAAATGGAGAAAAGACCAAACTGGATGTCAGAAGAGACTCTGAAACTTGCTCTTGAAAGGAGAGTAACTAAAGCAAATGGAAGAAGTGACAAGACAAAAGTACTGAACAGAAGATTCAAAGAGCAGCTCAAGAAGACAAAGTCAGTTACTATAATGAAATGTGCAAAGGCCTGGAGTAAGAAAACCAAAAGGGAAGAACATGTTCAGCATTCCTCAAGCTGAAAGAACTGAAGAAAAAATTCAAACCTCAAGTTGCAATATTAAAAGATTTATGGGCAAAATATTGAATGATGCAGGAAGCATCAAAAAGATGGATACACAGAGTCACTGTACCAAAAAGATTGGTCGATGTTCATCCATTTTAGGAGGTGGCATATGATCAACAACTGATAGCATTAAAGGAAGAAGTCAAAGCTACACTGAAGGAATTGGCAAAAACAAAACTGCAGGAATTTAGGGAATACGCATTGAGATGTTTCAACAAACAGATGCTGTGAAGGAGGTACTTATTCATCTATGCCAAGAAATGTAGAAGACATTCTACCTGCCTGGCTAGCTGACTGGAAGAGATCCATATTTTTACCCATTCCAAAGAAAGGTGATCCCATAGAATGTAGAAATTATAAAACAGTATTATTAATATCACAGACAAGCAAAATTTTGCTGAAGGTAATTAAAAAATAGTTGCAGCAGTGTATTGACAGGGAACTTCAAGAAACGCAAGCTAGATTTCGAAGAGCATGTAGAATGTTGGAGATCATTGCTGATGTTGGATGGATCTTGGCTGAAAGCAGAGAATACCAGAAAGATGTTTACTTGTGTTTTACTGACTATGCAAAGGCATTTGACTGTGTGGATAATAACACATTGTGGGTAACATTGAGAAGAATGGGAATTCCAGAACACTTAATTGTGCTCATGAGAAACCTATACTTAGACTAGGAGGCTGTCATTTGAACAGAATGGGATACTGCATGGTTTAAAATCAGAAAGAAAGTACATTAGGGTTGTGTCCTTTCCCCATACTTACTCAAAGTGCACACGGAGCAAATATTCCTAGAAGCTGGACCGTATGAAGAAGAACACAGCATCAGGATTGGAAGAAGAATCATTAACAACCTGTGATATGCAGACAACACAACCTTAGTTGCTGAAAGTGAAGAGGACTTGAAACACTGACAAAGATTAAATACTACAATCTGCAGTATGAATTGCACCTCAATATAAAGAAAACAAAAATCCTCACAACTGGACCAATAAGCAGCATCACAATAAATGAAGAGAAGACTGAAATTGACTGTCAAAGATTTCATATTACTTGATTCCACAATCAGCACCCGTGGAAGCAGCAGTCAAGAAATCAAATGATGTATTACACTGGCCAAATCTGCTGCAAATGACCTTTTTAATTGAAGACTAAGGTGTGTCTAACCAAAGCAATGGTGTTTTCAATCACTTATGCATGTGAAAGCAGGACAAAGGACAAGGAAGACAGAAGAAGAGTTGATGCTTTTGAGTTGTGGTGTTGGCAAAGAATACTGAAAGTGCGGTGGACGGCCAGGAGAACTAACAAATCTGTCCTGGAAAAGTGCATCCCGAATGCTCCTTGGAAGCGAGAATGACCAGACTTTGTCTCATCTACTTTGGTTATGTTGTCAGAAGGGACCATTGCCTGGAGAAGGATATCATATTTGGTAAAGTGGAGGGTCAGCAGAAAATGAGGGTGGCTCTCAACGAGATGGATTGATACAGTGGCTGCAAGGATGGGCTCAGGTATAGCAAGGATTGTGAGGCTGGTGCAGAACTAGGCAGTGTTTCATTCTCTTTTACAAAAGGTCACTATGAGTTGGAGCTGACTTGAGGGCACCTAACAACAATCACCACCACCTTTTTTCTATTCATCAAACCGCATATATGCTCATTTCTGTCCTTAGCTTAGATTCCATAGCCCATTGTTATTGCCAATTTGCATGTCATATAACTTCAGTTCTTGTGCCTTGTTTTCCTTTTTCCCACTCATGTAGCAAAATCCAAACCATTAAAAAAAAAAAAAAAAAACCTCACTGCCATTGAGTCAATTCTGACTCTTAGCGACTGTACAGGACAGTCACTGCATAAGGTTTCCAATGCTGTAAATCTCCTTGGAAGCAGACTGCCTTGTATTTCTTCGTGGAGTCCTGGTGGGCTCAAACTGCTGACCTTTTGGTTAGCAGTTGAGTGCTTTAACCAGTGTGCCAGTTCAACTCTCTGACTATTCTATATGATCTCAACTTGGGAGGGAGAAAAATCACACAAATTTGTTGACTATAAACTTTATCTTAAATTCATGACCACACTGCCAGAGGCAAGGAGTCCACATCTTCTGACCTCCTCTAACCCCACAAGAGGAAGACAGAATCACTGTCAGTAGCCCAAGACCTATTCCTGTGAGGCCAGACATGCTGCCTCCCTCCAGCCCTTCCCCAACCCTGACACCAACTG